TACAGTAACATCAGTATGTTAGAAAAGAAGATACGTAAATTTAATTAATCAGTGTTATTATGATGTTTTTTTTGGTTTGTGTACATTTTAAATGCTGCATTGTAGTATTGCAGTTTTAAATTATTGATCATGTTAGAGAATGTTATATTATTAAATGAAAGGTTATTTAAATATTTCTATTGAAATTTGATATCAGGATTTCTCTCTAGTAGTAAAGAAACTAGAAGAAACCCTCATCAAGATCAAAACCAGACCCAGTGCACTAAATGATAGTTACTAAAATGTAACTCTCTAATGTTTCTCCTATTTCTTCTAACGCACACCTGTGTTTACTGCATCAATGTTTGCAGAATTATATGCAGCAAGCACTGTGTTCATCCTCTCTCCCTATCCACACACCTGAAAGAGAAGCCAATCATTACTATTAGAGTCTTGGCCATTTCTGTCAGTTAGAATGCCCACTGGAACCGAATACTGAACCATGAAGTACTCCTCTGATTACCTCACTACACTTCCAACAAATCCAATCTGCTATTTCAAGAAAGTCTATCCATTTTATAATGCCTGTCTAAAACATAGATAATTCTGGAGATCCACATTCTGAGAATGATCCCACAAATCTGACAACAGGCTATGTGCCACTATCTAGGAAAATGGACACAGAATTGCTAAGAAGACACAGGAATTCACAAAACATTCCTAATGTTGTTTTTCACTCGTGTGGATGATTCCCTCATCTCTGCCTGTTCCATACTGTTTTTTGCTGCAGATGTTATGGCGGGCCAAAGAACTGAAAACCTCCAATCTCTCCAGCACATGCATCTGAATGCTAAGCTTTGTAGGGGTGCGCCAGGTTTATTTTCCCCAGCATGCACCGCTCCCGTTGCTCTCGGACCAATGGCTACCTCTGATCTTTGTTTTTCTGCACTAGTCAGAGGCAAGAGTCCAGAATTGCAATAACTGGAACTTTGACTACTGGGGAAAAGGCACTCAAGTCCCTGTTACCTCAGGTAAGTAACGCAACAGCTGAAGCTGAACTAAGATGGCTATGGTTGTGTTCTTTTTTGTAATAAATGCTGGACAGAGGTTAAACTGAGTAGCATATGTAGTTTTGGGGCAGAGTAACTAAGGAGCAATTCCTTCGTGTAGATGTAGCTACAGCTACAGCTACACTGGGGTGGAGTGGTGGCACTGTGGCTAAGACTCTGCACCTGGGGCTGAAAGGTTGCTGGTTCAGATTGCAAGGCTAGCAGAGGAATCCTACTCCATTTGGCCCCTGAGCAAGGCCCTTAACCCCAACTGCTCCAGGGGTGCTGTCTAAATGGCTGACCATGCACTCTGACCCCAAGTTTCTCTCTCCCTACCTGTGTGTCTCATGGAGAGCAAGCTGGGGTATGCAAAAAGACAAATTCCTAATGCAAGAAATTGTATACGGCTAATAAAGTGATTTTATCTATTCTTCAATTACTGGGGGAAAGGAACTCAGGTTACTGTCTTGTAAAAGAGAATAAAAGCAGGTGCTTGTGTGTCTAAACTGTCTCCTCTTGTCCTTTATCCTGAACGAACCCGTAGTCGTTACAATTGGTTTCAGGAGAGGGATGGATGACCCTAAAAGAGACCAGACCCAGTGGCAGCGAACACCTGGAGCCTGAGCAACTCCTGGGTGCAACGGGTGGCCACAGCCCTTGCAAGGGCTGCTCAGTAGTGGCCCCACCTGGGGAAGCGACGCGACTCCCCGCTACTCCCGTCCAGCAGACGCCGCAGAGAGGGGATGCCCTTTCCCCAGGGGCCGGCCAGCTCTTCCTGCCCCGCCGGGGTGGGTACAACCCAGTCGCTACGATGGGGAAGAGGGGAGTGGGAGAGGCGCAGTTCCAGCTCGCGGCCCGGGCGAACAGCTGGAACCTGGCTGCGGCGCTGGAAGGAGCGGGGTGACTATGTGACACTGGTGGCGGCTCACTGGCTACACTTCGGGGTGGAGGATACACCGGACGTGATGCGGGAGAGGCTGGCCCCGCGGTGGCGCCGACTGGGAGAGCAACTGGGCCGGATCGCCGCTGAAGTCTTGTTCCTTGCCCGCTGGGGATACCCAGCATTCCCCCGGGAGGCGCAGCGGGAGATGGCTCTCCAGGCCTTTCTCAAGGCCCTCTCACCCGAGGAGCTGCGGCGCCACGTACAACTGGCCAGACGGTACTAGCTGGCATCCGCCGTGCCGGCCTGAGGCTGAACCCCTGCACATGCGAGCTCCTGCGGCAGGAAGTGACCTTCCTGGGGCACGCTGTTGGACCGCGAGGGGTGGCTACAGACCCTGGTAAGGTCACCACAGTGAGGGGTTGGCCGACTCCCTGCACCATCAGGGAGCTGCGCAGCTTTCTGGGGTTGGCCTCGTACTACCGGAGGTTCGTTCCAGGACTTCCCCAGCATTGCCGCCCCGCTGCACCGCCTCACCGAAAAGGGCCGCCGTTTTGACTGGGACTCGGACTGTGAGGCGGCTTTCTGCCGGCTACGCCCCTGTACTGGCCCACCCCGACCCCCGGTTACTGGACATTTTAGATACCGATGTGAATGACTCAGGGGTGGGTGCGGTGTTGGTGCCGGAGTAGTTACACAGTGACCAGGGGTGTAACTTTGAGTCCCAGGTCTTTGCCAGGGTGTGCCAGAGCCAGAGCCAGAGCACCAGAGCACCAGAGCGACAGGTTGGTGGAGCAGTTCAACCGGACGCTCGTCACCCAGCTGGCCACCCTGGTGTCCCGGCACCAGCAGGATTGGGACTGCCACCTCCCCCTCGCGCTCTGGGCATACTGGACCACGGTCCAGGAATCTACCGGGTGCACCCCGGCCTCGCTCATGCTGGATCGGGAGATGCGATCCCAGGTGGATCTGGCCCTCAGTTCGCCACCCGGAGACGAGCTGGCACTGCCGGCTGGACTGGACTACGAGTGGGACCTGCAGTTACAGAGCTGTGCAACTGGGGAGAGTTTGATTACTGGGGGAAAGGAACCCAGGTGACTGTGACTTCAGGTAAGACATACTGTACACGTCTGTCGGATTTCAGAAGTGCAATATTATTTGTAAGCCTGCGTCTTTATGTTTCACGGCTATTCATCCCAGGACACGATACATCTGTCACTGCTTGCAAAGCTACAATTTAAGATTTCTTCGCTTTTACTGGCTCAGAATTGATATTTCTGCCACCTTTTGCGATACGGTAGGTCATGCTGATGAGTGAAGTCAAACAAGTCAAAATAACAGAGGCAACGAAAAATGCTTTTTAGAATTATAAACGTAAAAAAAAAAAACATTTAAAAAGGGAACATTTGAATGGTCCTGGGCGTCGATATTAACATTAACATCCGTTTAAACAACTATCCGCTGTGCTACTACTACCACTACTTCGATCACTGGGGGAAAGGGACACAAGTCACCGTCACCTCGGGTAAGAAAACATTTTCGTTCTGAATTCTTCTTACTTTTATAATTTAATTTGGCTTCGTCGTATTTCTCTGGTAAAACCGGGTCTAGCGACAGAAAAATGCTTCACGATTTGGTGAACCTGAAATTTAAAGAACAGCGTGTGCGTCCTTTATACTGTAGCTATATCTCGGGTCCCATTAAAAATATATATATATAAAGGCTGCTTCAATTACAGAACGACGTCCGTGACACGTATTATAGCCACCGACACAATCTCGTGTTAACTTTTTTAATTAATGGATACAATTTTTAAAATTCGAAATCACGGCTTTTCAATATTAAACTGGCATTAAATTTAAAATGGCAATGAGAATCGACGACTTTACTGTCGATGCAGAAAAAAAATGCAGAACATGATGTTGGTATTTAATAACAGAAATGTATTTATTTAATACATTCACAGTTAAAACGTATAAACCTCAGTCATTCCCGAATACTGTCCTGGCTTTTCTTTTTATTGGGGCTATAAAATAGCAATTACATTTTTTTAAAAACCCTTTCCATGGGGCTTTCGTTACATAGATAAGACTCTTCTCGTTGTAATATAATAAACAGTATTTTATGCTGAAAACGTTTTTGCACCGATAGTCTGGTGAAATAATTCAGTGTGACTACAATGCTTTCGAGTACTGGGGGAAAGGAACTATGGTCACCGTCACATCAGGTAAGACCTCTAGTTTAAAATATACAATAACCGTGATTTTAAAGTAGATTTTTTATCCAGTCGCTCTATTTAAGGTTAAGAAGCGGGTGGAAGACAATAGAAGTTAAAAAATAGGCTGCCGTCTGTAACAATTGACGTTTTCGTGTTTTTGATGTTTAAATTCTGAATTAAAATACCTGTATTGTGGTATTCGGAAAGTTTTATCACCGCTTGGTTTAAATCGGGAGAAACTGTAGGGACTTATTGTACAGCAGAGTGTATGGACACGAGCAATGTGACTACTGGGGGAAAGGCACCATGGTCACCGTCACTTCTGGTAAGAAAAACCCGTTTATTTCTCGTCTTTACCCCGTTGGAATTTGGACGGTGGAATTTTCTATCTGTTTGCTCGTTTTCTGTGGTCAGACATTTCAAATCTAAGGTCGGCATAGGTACGGTATGCTGGGTTACTGAATTTTAACTGGGCTCAATTCGAGAGGAAAGAAACGGGGAAAAGGTGCGCTTTATAGTCAATGTTTGATCTTTTTAAAAGCCTAAATTGTGGTAATTTCCCTGGAGCAGAAACAGGGAATTACAAAAAACATGCCGTTCCATCGGGCCATACAATTAACTGCACACGCTGCAATTTAATATTCGAAATTTAATTGAAGATTGTGATTAGCGATTGAGCTGATTAAAAATAATTGTAAAATGTATACGGAAAATAGGATCGACTTATCATTATCTAACCTCTCTGTAGCGAACGAATGTATTTACCTTCAGCAATATCTGAAACAATATGCATTTCTTCGGCCTTTATTGGTGGTAGGCAACGTTTTTAATGTGATATAAGGCAGAGTAGTCTATTTTTGTATAGAAAATAAATGATAGATGAAGTGTAAATGATTTAGATACGGTGGTTGTTCGGTCGGTGCCTGGGTTACCCGGGTTTTAGAATGAGCGGTCGGAGTAAATTCAGCAGCGTGACAACCGCTTCGATTACTGGGGATCCGGGACAGCGGTCACCGTCACCTCCGGTAAGTGCCGAGCACACTCACTGCTGAGACGCCCGGTGCGTGATTTTGGTTTGAACTAATGGTCCAGTTTTACCTTCGTCTCTTACTCTCTAATACCTCAAAATAACAACCCAGGCAAGGAAACAGTCAGGAAAATATGCTGTTTCTGTATCTGCTGTATCGACGTTGAATTAAATTTACTAAGGGCTGACACAGCCCGACAAAGTAACAATCGATAAGGGTTAATAGCGATATAAACGATAATAGCAAACGGTAAGGGTTTCCGTACAGTATAAGAAACAGGGTTTTATGCTGAAAAGATTCTGCACTGAGTGTCCGGCGAAATACTTCAGTGTGACTACGATGCTTTCGGTTACTGGGGCAAAGGGACCATGGTCACCGTCACATCTGGTAAGACCTCTAATTTAAAATAGATCATAATCGTGATTTCAGCGCGTTTTATCGAATTGTTTTGTTCAGTTAGAGCTTTAGATCCGAGTGAAAGAGTAAAGCAAGGAAAACAAAATATAACTTGGTTACATAAATATTTACCTAATTACCGCTGGCAGTTAATTGTGTTTTTTTTTTGTTCTGTTTATGTTTTCGTTCTTTTCTCTGTATTTTCTCCTCTACTTGTATTTGTACGGGAGCGGCGAGGGCACATGCCCAGAGAACCCCAATCCGATACAATACATTTAATTTGAAAAATGCTAAGTTTTATACTTGACTAGATGATATGATTTTCATGATGAAATACAGTAATGTATCATTTAAGTTTAATCATTGGGCCAATAATTTATAAAGTTCGAATGACGTTTTATTTTCTGTCGTGATTGTTGACGGCAAAGCTTGGACCGACTTGTTTTAAAATTTGATTATAGGTCCTGTATTGGTTGAGTGACAAATGCCAAGTTTAGCAGTTAATTTTTCCAGATGTCATGTTAATAAGACCAATTAAAATGGAGTTCCAATACACCCAATAACTATAAATAACAACAGTATTTTCTCATGAAACACTGTGACTCTTAACAATGGCAGCTCGCCAAAAATATTGCTTTAAATCAAAGACATCGTACAGGATGCATACACTGTCCACAAAGTTTGACACGGATTTGACACTTTAAAATTCAGCAGGGAGAATTACAATGTATATTATTTTAGTGGTATTGAAGCCCAATATATGTTACTCGAATATCTCCTTTCCAAAGAAAACCTTATTCGCAGAGAGAAGAATTGCATAAGAAATTGTGATAGGTTCGTTTTGGTAACATCAAGAAAAAAAATTGCCAGTTCTAACAGACTAGAGGACTTTGTTAAAAAGCAACAAACGTGAAATTATGGTTATAGTATCTTTTGCACAGAGGTGACTTAACGCTTAACGAGAGGTTTATCACTATTGAAATATCTCCTTTTTATGTTAAAATCCATACCGAAAGAATGCCGACAGGAACATTTCGGAAAATACTTCAGGAGACATCTGCAAACCTTATGGCTGTTCTTTACGCCTGATAAACTCGCAGTTAACACATCGACAACCCCTGCATAAATTCTGTTAAGCTACTCATCTACTGTCACTAATAATACATACTCTACACATTTTAATCATAAAACAAGCTGTGTTTCGGTAAACAAAGTACTATATACGTGTCTAATAGGGCACATCTAAAACAAAGTATAAATGGAATTTTAAGTCTTTTTGCCCTTGAGCAAAATTTTCGTTAAAACCGGATTAGGAGATCCACATTTCACAAACAGTCTGTAGCTATGCGACTGCTTTACAGTGAGTTTCCCGAAAGCATCGTAGCGCTAAGAACATCGTAAACTCGCTCTTAAAATCGATCGTTAATTTACAAGTGTTTCCCAAAACCCATCGTAACTTAAGTAGCACGTTAAATCCTTCGTAATCTACGTGCTCCCCGACCCACTCGTTAATCACTAAGTGCTTCTTAAACTGGTTACCTCTTGCACCAACCTTAGCGACAGAGCTAGCCAGACAGAGCACATTCAATTCACGTCATGGGAATTCTCTGAAAATATAGAATACTAAGAGTTTATATTAAGGATTTTGATATTTTGTTGAAATTTGAAAAAAGAACATTTATTTATACAGTAATGAATTTATTAGTCATCTTGGGTAAATTTCATATTCATAAGTCAAGTGTTTGAATAATACTCCCTCTTTTAGTACTTTTGAGGTGGGGTTTAAATTGTATTTAAATTCCATAAAGAACGTGAAAAATGCCAAAGCAAGGAAAACATTTGATATATGTACAAATATAACTTGGTTACATACATATTTACCTCGTTACCGCAGGCATTTAACTGTTTTCTGTTCTTTTTATGTTTTCTGTTCTTTTATCTGTATTTTCTCCTCTACTTGTATTTGTTTGGGAGCTGCGAGGACACATGCCCGGAGAACCCCAATCCGTTACAATACACTTAATTAAAAAGAACGGCTAAGTTTTATACTTGACTAGATTGTATTATTTTCAGGATGAAATGCAGCAATGCATTATTTAAGTTAAATCATTGGGCCTAACATGTATTTATAATGTAGCGCCACGCAGGGCGCTTTAGCCATGCGCACGCAAGGCGGGCTGAGAACAGCACCTGGGGACTACCGGACTGTATAGCGGGACGGAGGCTGGGATACAGTCTCTTCCCTTCGTGTGTGTATGTTAGTGTAGTGCACTGTTAGTTAGTGTAGGTGCAGTGTTGTAACCCCTTTCCCTGTGTATGTACCTTTCCCGATTCGAGTTAATAAATGTGTTGTTCAACCCCATTCCGTGAGTCCAACGCCTGCCATTCCGTACCGAAACCCACGGTCGATACAATATTTAAAGTTCGAATACCGTTTTATGTTCTGTCGTGATTGACGGTAAAGCTTAGACCTACTTGTTCTAAAATGTGATTAAAGATCCTGTATTTGTTGAGTGACGTTGCCAAGCTTAGTAGTTAATTCTTCCATTGAGTTCCAATACACCCAATAACTATAAATAACAACAGTTTTTTTTTCTCACGAAACAGTGATTCTTTAACAATGGCAGCGTGCCAAAAAATATTGCTTTAAATCAAAGACGTCGTGCAGGACGCATACACTGTCCACACAGTAAAACTTGGTTTTCTTTCACGGCATGTCAGTCATTTATTTTATTTTCTCTTGGAAACAATAAGGGTCCCATTTTGTGCCTATCTATACGCCTTCGCTTAATTGATTGTTAAATTATGATGTCATGTTTGCTTCATATTCCTTTTCACAACTTTATTTCATCCCACTGAAGGACCAAAACCGACACCATATAATGAAAGTAGTGTCAATCGATTGCTTTTCAATCGATTTGTAATGCTTTTTGCGACTTCAGGGGAGGGGTTAACAAAGAAGTACTTTATACTCGCTCGTTAAATGACAGATTAAGAGGGGTTTTGGGAAACGCACGAAAAATTAACTCGTACGTTACGTACGTACATCGTAAAGTTGCTCATTTGTCTCTAAGATTCATCGTTTTCGGGAAACTCACCCCAGAGTTCTAGTAACTAAACCTTCCCATTGATTCCCAATTATTCCTTCCCAATTAAATCAAATTGCTCTGAAACTCTCCCTGACAATCTGATTATCTTTTAGAAAACAAAAAAAAAAAGTATTGTAACGAACGACCGACATACAGGTTGTACGAGCCAGTTGCAGCCCGGTGACGGCACCGCCCTCCCCTGCGCTAAACAGGGATGTTGGCCGCCTGGGCTGAGGAAGGTCTTCTTTAGCTCAGCCGGCAGGATCCCTGTTGAGTGACGCCAGAAACCCGCGTTCGAGCCCCTATGACGAGGGCAGAAACCCAAGAACCCGAATTCGCTACAGTGTGTTTAGATTAGAATGTGGGTTAACCCCCATTAATACACTGTGAATTGATATGGTATTCTGATGTAGGCACATGAAGAATACAGATATATGAATGTTAAGAGTTCTTTGAATTCTGTATCATATGATTTTATTTTCATTTGTAGTTGTGTTTCAAAGTGACCCTGATACTGTTGGTTTCAAATATCAACTATTATTACATAGCACGGAACGTGTTTATCCTGTCTTGTGCCCGTTGCTTACCGGGATAGACTCCTGTTCCCCAGCGCCCCTGTACTGGATGGCTGGCTGGAACATCCCACGTTTGTGGTAGTGTGATTTTCACACATGAAATAACCCAAGCTTGTGATCTCCAAGAGACTTCTTCGTCTTTCTTCAAAGATGTATATGAACGAAACAGAGCCAAACAAAATATTTATTTCTAATTAGTTCTTTTGAGGTTAATCTTTTTTGTTGGTGTTTTTCAGATTCTCCTTTGGCTCAATTAGTTTTCATGCTGTGATAGTCTCACGTTTTAAGAAAAAAAACAACTTGTGGCTCACACCAACTGATTTACTCTGGATTCCACTATGGTGTTCTAATATGATATAAACTACGCTTTTGATTTTTTTTTTTGTGGTTCATAATGTTTGTTTCTTTGTTTTTTATTTACTTTAGCGCAAATCAATCCCCCACTGGCAAGTGTACTCTGGCCGTGTGGCGTGAACTTGGAAACTACTTCTCCAGTCACCTTGGGCTGCCTTGTGGAGGAATCCTATTCTGGACAAGCAACCGTGTACTGGTCTAAGGATGGACAAAAACTTACTACCGACATTAAGATGTACCCTTCTGTAGAAGACTCAGGGAAATACAAAAAGACTAGCACACTCACAGTGACAAAATATGACAGCTATACATGCGTGGCTAACGACCGCAGCTCAAATGAAAACTCTACGGCTTCCTCACCAAAACGTGAGTCTTTTCCACTTAAAACATAGCAAACCAGAGATGTGAAATAAATAAGGTCTGTTATTATTTTAATTAATTATTCTTGATTTGTGGAAGAAGCTTGCTTTCTAGGTTGTTGGATAATTGAAAGCTAGTTCCAAGAACTAGTGTGAGAAAATAGTCTGGTTATAAAAAGGGGCTTGCAGATATGCTCTGTATGGTACATTTGTGAAGGAGAGGCAAAACATTCCAAATGGTCAAAAAGCCACCTGTAAAAAGTTTGCAATGCTGAAATTCTAGGTCACCTTTGCATAATTATCTGCTGCGTTGACGGTTTGTCCTGATTTTTGCTGTTTATCAACCCTGTAGCTCAAGCTCCCCAGGCACCAAATGTCAGCATTTTGACTTCGCCCAATATGTCACCACCGAATTTGGTCTGCGTCGTCTCTGACTTCTATCCCCAAACTGTGACAATTTCGTGGAAGAAAGGGAAAACGTCCCTAGATGCACAAGCCGCCGGCATTATCGAGAGATCGCCGGTAAAGAAACCATCAACCGAACTGTTCACTGCGATGAGCCTTCTCCCTGTGACTGCCTACGACTGGGATAAGGACACGATCTACACCTGTTCAGTCCATCACGCTAAAACAGGCACTCAAAAAGAACTGAGCACCAGCAAAAGTAGAGGTATGTGTTCACCTGGCCTGGTAGCTGTGCTTTTAATTGCATTGCTTAACGTCATTGAGGCTACTAAAGTCATAAGTATGAAACGTTCCCTGGTTTAAGGGGGATATACTCTTCTTTGTATTGTACGTATGTTTGTTGTTACAATAAAAAACATTTAAAATATAAAAAGTAGGAGAGCCCCAATAATCGGTGTTATGTCGACGCGCGGTGTTAGTTCATGCGACACTGTCGTGCTAATATGGGGCTACAGTGTTACGGCACAAAGGGAGCCTTTACAGCCTTACCGTTGCAGTACTGTGAATTGCAGAACCAACGGCAGGCTCGTGCCAAACGTACTCGTATACTCCGTGCCTTGTTTGCGATATATCAGTGGGGTCCAAGAAGCATTGTTCCACTGAAATGTCACCTGAAATAGTGCATTTTCTATTGCTATTTGTATGAAGTCTTGTGCGGTTTCATCTTTCAAACAAGTAAACATTTAATGCAGTAAACTACATTAAACAGCCAGTACATCTGTTAGTTGAGTTGCGCTGTGAACCTCTAAGGCATTTGCTGAGCTTGCCAGAACTACCCCAGGGTTATTGCACTGCTTTCGAATAAAGAAGCTGCAGATACATTAGAATGTTAATTACATCTCCCCCAAAATCATTCATGTTAATAAAGAAAGTTCACATATGATTGCTAAGCAACAAAGGGAAGATGTTAAATTTAGAATCACTATGTGATGTTGTCGCTTTGTTAATGTTGCACTGCTAAATGATGGCTTCCTTATTGTCGTTCATTTATTTGATGATTCCTTTAAAAGGGAACTGCGGTCCCAATTTCTCAGAACAGTTAAATCTTGGTAACAAATTCATTTAATTGACGGTATAAAAAAATGACAAATTTCGAATGAAGCACATAATCGTGAACTTTTGTGGGTACATTTTACATTCATTGTGGTTTGAAATGCACTCATCAATGCTAATTCCTTCTAACCCTGAAATACTGTATAAATATAGCATTGCAGCTCCCCTTTAACCATGGCGATATACCCTTAAAACTATGACCGCAATTCACATGAAGCATATAGCATGAATTTGTGTTTCGTTATCTCCTGAAATGGAGTTTGGGGCTGATTTTTTAAAATGTATTTGTGAGCCCAAAGACACTTGATGCAACACACACACACCTGAACAGGGAGTTTCTGTAGACATGAAAGATTTCCAGCTGACCTAAGTAAGACCTGGAGATTCACAATCCCAGGTAGCCCAGTAGTTCATGGTACCGCAGTAGGTTCAGGTCACCTCAGTTAGGCAGGTTCAGGTAGTACAGATCATTGTTAAAATCGTCAGTTTCTAAGCAATGCATTTAGTTTTTTTTTTTAATTTAAAGCAATTTCGTTTTGGCCTGAAGCAGGTGAGATTTTGCAAAGAAGCAGTTTAGAGAACATTTTAAATAAAAAATACTGACACCCCCGTAGGTCTGAAGGATCACAGCCAGCAATGTCCGTCTTGGCCAAACAAGTTATCTTGCTAAATTGGAACTCACATGTCCCAAGTCTTCACAGATCGATGACTTTATGGAGGCTGGAGTGTGGCTCTGCCAGAGCAGGTTCTGTCCAGTTCCTTCCCTGTGTCTTCTAAAATGTATCTCATTCTTTCCAACAGTTGGATCTACAAGTATCTTTGTTACACTCCATCCCCCCAAGGTAAAGGAGCTGTTCCTTAACAACCTGGCTGTGCTGGTGTGTGAGGTGAATGGCAAAGAGGCAGCCAATGTGGAGATTTCCTGGTTTGTGGACAGCCAAAAACAGAGTCAAAATGTGAAAACCTCAGGTGACAATAATCAAAGGACTAGTACACTGACGACTCCGCAAGAGAATTGGTTCAGTGGAAAGAAGTTTGAGTGCAAAGTCTCCCACTCCTCTATTCAGCCCATTATAAAACATGCTCAGGTGTTAATTGGTAAGTAAGATTAAAGTGGTTGTCCACCTTGGGTACTGACACTACAACTCAAGAAATAAATCAGTCTTGTAGCAAAGCCTTAAGACACAGGGAGGGCCACTGAGCTTCCAAATTAAAACTTAATTGAGTTTTGCATTATAGTAATCTGCATCTGTATTCATGCCTGTGCTAATTAATGGTTATGTGAACCACATGCACAGCATCTTGCAATAGTATTCACCCCCTTCTAATGATGTCCCATTTATCTGGACTGCAAATGATGTCCACACGTGGTTTTTCTGTCTCAAGTCAATTGTTTTAAACTCATACAGTACACGTTCGGTGAGAGAAGTTCAAGGTCAGCAAGAAGGGCAAAAGGCAAAATTCCAAAACTGCAATAGGTGAATTGCAAAGGTATTTGCCCTGTTTGAGCCAGCACTTGGTAGAAGCGGCTTTTGGCAGCAGTTCCAGTCATTTTGGGATAAGTCTCTACCAGCTCTGCACTACAGGCAGTGCAGGCAGAAATAATGTTCCGCTTCTTTGTACACATGGATAGTAGAGTTTTTGTTTTTTAAAACAGAAACTTATACTGTTTTTTTCAGACGCTTATCTTTAACGCTTATTGATGGGTTTTTTTTTTTTTTTTTTGGTCTTCAGACAAAAACCTGAAGAAACCCGTTGTAAACATCCAGAAGCCAAATGACAACAGAGTGGGGAACTCGAACACTGTCAACCTAACCTGCGTGGTGTCTGGATTCTACCCCGATGATATTTACATCATGTGGAAAGAAAGTGACAAACAAGGCAGCACAACTTCCGACAGAGAAGACGACCTCACAAGCAAACCCGTGAAACAACCAAACGACGAATCCTACACCGCCTTCAGTCAGCTGACCGTGAGAAAAGAAGAATGGAATGAAAAAAAGTATACCTGTGCAGTTAAACACGCTTCGCTGGGAAATAACAGCCAATCCCCGGAACTTGATAGTATAACAAAAGATGATGGTAACTACAACTGTCCACGTCTGGTAGAAGACTAGTGATTATGTGTCTTCCTCCTGTCTGTTGTTCCCACCAGAGATCTCTCCTGCTTGAGCCTCCCTGTTTCATGTCCCGCTGTTTCGTTCTGTTGGCCGTTCCTGCCCGCGTTATAGCAGAACGCAACAGCAAAACGAAAACTGGACATCGCTTGAATCAAAAGAAAAAAACAAGCCTAACAGATGGCTCCCCTTTTGTGAATTACTCAATCAGGCGATAACTTCAAGGCTAGCATATCATCCATCAACTCGGGCTGTTGTTGTACTGTAGACGCTTCATTTCTTTTTGATCCACAAAGTTCCAAAACGTTCTGGACTCTATTGTGTGCTCAGTATGTGAAATGGCAACGTCATGAAGTCCGACTGTGGAAACTCGGGCTAATATAGAAGCAAAAGACCACGATAACAGTTTATTTGACTTTTAATCAAATGAATACTTGTACGTCTTCACTTTCAATTCACAGATTAAGTCCAGTTTCCCATTCCCTATCATTGGCCAGTGTTAAAAGCGAGTACTTTTTTATGGGTAGATTTGTTCTCACTGTTCATGACTGTTTGTTGTCTTTTGTTAAAACGTGCTGTTTGTTTCCCTTGTATTGTTCTATGCTCTGTAAAATCAGTCAATATGTCTGTTTGTGATAAGAGAATCGTTAGTTCATTCGTTACATATTCTTTTGAATGTAATAGGACATGTATGTTTGAACGGAGAGACCTTTTGTGGAAAAACGGTTATTAACGAATGACAGCACTTAACTACTGCACTAGTTTAGAAGCAAAATAAAAAAATGCAACTATTTTTTTGTGAAAGTCCGAGATTATGTTGCACATAACCATTGATCATGCACGAAATCATGGAAGAATCCTTAGCACAAATCGAACTCAAAGAACATGCTTAGGTTGCCTTTTTACAATTTAGATTTTGACTGTTTTAATGCATTTTGGTGCATCTGTCCAGAGAAAAGGTCATTTAAAAAAAGCCACACTTTGTTCCATAGAACATTTTAAATCTTATTTTCTTTATACGTTTCTGAAGGTTAAACAGAGAAATAAAGACAGCCTAGGAAATGACACAAATATAAGTACTTGCCTAGTGAACAAGAATGCAAGAGTTATTCGATTGAATTAGTCAGCTTTATAGAAACACATCACAATATTTTGAAGACATGAAGAAGAAGTTATAATAAGACTCATCAATCCATGACAGGCACAACAATATTTTTAATCCAGTGGCCAAGGATCAGGGTATACTCACAGACTGTTAAACTTAATCAGTTGCTTGGATATATATTAAATCTTTAAAACAAGCACATATATTATACAAACAACTGCAATCATGGACATTTTTACCAATGTCATTTCAGACTGTGAGATCATGAAACACTAGCAACCAAAAGTTAGCCACCCCCATGTCCAAGTTAGTTTCTCATATGATAGCACTACAAATAAATCAAACTCAGAACGAAATAAAGCAAATTAAACGTTGAAAACACAGTAGCACAAATTAATCAATATCATGCAATATCTGTTTCAGTTATTGGTAGCTACAAAACATCTATAGATGGACAACCAGCAACATCTACCATTATGAGAAACGTTATTTTTTAATCATATTTACTTCACATCTGCCTCTGTGATTCACAGAATAAACTTACCAATAGGTTCATAACAGATGAATAAATATAGATTATATGAAAGCAGAAAATTCAATATTTAAATATAAGTAACCAATGCCTAATAAACTATTTAAGCACAGTTTGATTTCAAATGTCTTAAATCTTAGTCATAGTCAAAGCTTGGTAACAATACATCTGACAATCCTAAGTATTACAGGACGCAAAAAACTTTCACATATCTTTAATTTACCCCATCAGACCTAAAAGTGAATTGTCTGAATATAGATAACATAACATTTGCAAAGATTATATGGATAACTATTATCTGATTTGCAAAATTTAATATTATTGCTACCAAGTGAAAAATTAGTAGTAGTTTCCCCAGTTTACAATAAAACCTGTCTTCTCATGCAAAATCTACAGCAAGTTAGACCTTCTCCAAACAATAACTGTGAAAACTAGCAGAGAGTTCTTTAATAATGTTCCTAGTTGAGCTAACAGTGAACGTCCTTTGATCTCAAGAGTGAACTCTTGTGCTATCACTCTTGAATAACACACACTATACCAAATGAAAGAATAAAGAAAGAGGCATTCATTTTGGGGGAAAAGGGAGGACATGCACCCCAACGTTTCACTACCCAGTACTAGATAGGCCAGTGATTCTACAGATTTCAGTAAAATCCCTTAACACCCCCCTCCAGATAAGCCTGCAATGCTAAACATCAGGAAATTAAATCCCTTTAAAAATGCAAAATTGTAGAACCGTCAAGCTACTGTACTCTATGATAAAGCTTTAAAAATTCTAGACTTTGTCTGACATGTGTTAAAACTCTTCACTGTCAGCTCTCCCACAAAGATGCAAGTTGAAGAACTGAATGTATCCTTTCCTTGTCTTCCTCAGAGGAGATTCTGGAGTTTCTGGACTTCGGAGACACCAATCCCAATGACGGCGAGGGTAACGCATGGACAACAGCCTTGTGGTTCATCTTTCTCTTCCTCTTCAACTTCCTGTACAGCGCCATCCTCACCATATCCAAGGTAACATACTGGCTACTGCTACATTTTGCCATCCTTCAACACCTCCTTCTGCAGGCCATTACTCAGGTAAACTAGTTACTAAGTGATCACATCACTCCTGTCCTGGAGGCCTCGCACTGGCTTCCTGTCAGGTATCATGTCAATATCAAAATCCTCATACTCACCTATAAAACTCTCACTACCTGTCTGAATTATTATTTGTCTACTTCCGATCTTGTAAACCTCTTTGATCTGACTTTGGTCTCCTGCTTATTATTATTATTATTATTATTATTATTATTATTATTATTATTATTATTATTATTATTATCATCATCACCCATAACAGTGATGTGTAATTACTGGGCTCAGTGCACATAATGTTTATTTGCAACTTTTGTGTGTTTTGTAGTTTCTGTCTGTGGAAAACATAGCTGCTTCAGTGCAAGACAAATTTCTGAAAAAAAAACATTTTATCTTATCACATTGTAAGTCCACTAGGTGCAGGAGTTTTGCATACCTCTTTCCCAGTGCTCCTGAGTACTTGTTCCGTGTTCACAGTGGGGGAGTGTGGAACAAGCTTCACAGTCATATAGCTGAATCAGACACGCTGCGTTTTTTCAAGAAACAGCTGGATGGGATCAATTAACTCCCACCTACTAGCCAAGCTTGATGGGGTGAATTGCTTATTCAAATCCTTTCTTACAATCCCATCATTTTGTTTCATGTAGATCCTACAGCAGCTCCTTACTTGTGCTACCTAATGAAGGCTCCCATACAGCACAATATTAATTCACTAAACTAACCATTTCACCTAGTAGGCTAGTTCCCACAGGACTATTTAAATTAAGACAAAACTGTACCTCACCCTTACAATTACTCCATGCTGCCAACACTATGAGTTAGCATTTCTATTCAATCACAATGTACACGTACTGTACTTCAGCTATTTCATCATATATTTGTGCACAGAAGTGTGACTTGTTCTCACTCCCTGTTGCTTTGCTCTTTCAGGAGCAGTGCTGAGTCATTTAAATTCTTGAGACATCAGATTTATAATAATTTCTTACATTTATATAGAGCTTTTCTAGACCCTTCTTTCAAAGTGCTTTACAGGTAATGAGGAATCCCACTCTCCCCACCAATGTGGCAGCCAAAGTGCACCAGTATGCTCACCACACACCAGCTCTCAGTCAAAACAGAGTTTTTTATAGATAGGGATTATTAGTAAACTATGACTGGTAAAGGCCAGAGAGAAATTTGGACAGGACACTAGGTGGGGTAACACCCCTACTCTTTTTGAGTAATGCCCTGGGATGTTTAATGACCACAGAGAGTCAGGACCTCAGTTTTATGTCTCATCCGAACGATGGCGCCTTTTTACAGTATAGTGCCCCATCAGTATACTGGGGCATTAGGACCCACACACTGCGCAAGGTGAGCACCCCCTACTGGTCCCACTAACACTTCTTCCTTAGCTTTCCCAGGAGGTCTCCCATCCAGGTAATGGCCAGACTCACACTTGCTGTGCTCCAGTGGGGCTGCCAGCTTTGAGCTGCAGGGCAGGATAGCTACAGGCTTACTGCTGGCTGCCAATTGGTGGAAAGATGTAATCTGTTTATTTAATATGTGTGGGGAAAACAATGCACTTAGCACAGCTTGATGAACCTCGATGAAAGATGTAGCTGGCAGGCAATTTACAATAAAGGAAAATTAACAAATTTCTGTCCCTGATCTCTTCTTGTTGCAGAAGCAGTAAGACTCCCTGCTCTCTGGATTCCCCTGGTCCTAGCATGTTCAGTTTGAATCAATTGTACCACCAAAAAATTCCAAAGATGTCATGAATTCATAATATCATTGTAACATTGTGGGTAGGGTTTTCTGTATCAAAGCCCCAAGAAGAAATGAAAGGCTTTTCTTAAGAAAAAGTGGATGGGTTAGAACTTTCCAGTATTGATCTTCTGTGAGACATTTTAAATGTGTCCTGCTTGCATGTCAACTGAGTGAAACAAATGGAAAATGTAGTGTGAATATATCAAATGCACCAACAGGAGAAAGAGGCAGCAGACACTGTAGCCGACATTGAAGGGCATCACTGAAGTACACCAGAGCAGATCAGCAAGAGTTTCTCTTGGGCTCTTCATCGGTAATTTGGACTTGTGTAAATTGTAAATTGTACAGTAATTGCTGTTTGTCTTATTTTTCTCTGTCTGACAACTCTCTGCAATTCTATAAAATTCAGATTGCAGATGCCAAGGACCTGTACAGAAACATAACTAATTGCTAAGAAAGGACACAAATGAAAAAAACATGCATCATATCTGCCAATCATATCAGATTTGGACAGTTTGGCTTCAGACTGAAAGATCATAAAACAGCTATTTTGCACTGCAATTTCCCTCACGGGATCAATAAAGTATCTAACTTTACCTCCCCATCAGAAGGAGAGCTTCGTTGGTCATAAAAAAAATAACCACTAACTAACTCTTGATAGTGTAAACTGTGAAAAAAATTTTAATCTGGCAAGCGGTATTAGGGTTAATTGCAGGAGTTTTGGAGCTGACGCCTCTGCACGAATTCTACCTGAGTGCAGGAAATCCAAATTAGAAACATTAGTAACTTCTTTTTAAATATTCTTACAGCCTCCACTTAAAGTCCTTGAAAAGCAAAGAAAAACTGGAGCTGTTTTTTTATGTGTACTAACATATCTAATTGTCTAATACAGTGTTTAGACTGTGTTTTCTGTGAGTGACAGCTGCATGTCTTGTTTAAACTGTTTCATTTAAAAAAAATGTACATTAATGTATCTGTCGTGCAAAATATACTTTTTCAAGATAAAATACAAACTGCAAAATGACTGCGTTGTCTTGTGTGATTTTATATTTATTTTTAATTATTCTCGCGAACATCGTTTACAAAGCCTTCTCTTTCAAAATCCCCATTCTCGTTATCGCACTGTCCTGAAAGGCATTCAATGAGAAATGTGCGCTCTTTTTATTTATTCAAAATGGCTCCAAATTCGGGGGGTTTCAACACGCGGCCGTTGAACGGTTTTAAAAGCCATCCACCTTATCTTCACCTTCACAAGAAAACACATCTTAGTGTCTTTTTCATGCTGTTTAATTAATATTTATATTAGCTAATATCAGGCTTGTGACGTGTCATGACAGACCTATTACTTTCATTGTGCCATTCAAAACATGAAAAGTAGTACATCACACTTTGCAAAAGAGATTCTACAAAATCAGCAATATATATAACGTATTTTCTTTTTTATTATTATTTGAACACCGCAGAAAATGCATTTTAACTTCTTACAGAAGCTTCGACACTCGGAGAATGGCCAACCACGTTGTAGGTTGAACATGATTACCTAATTAATTATTCTTGATTTTCTTTATTAAGCAATTAACCAATTTACATTTACTACCAAACAACAGCAGCAATGTTCTTGATAATTCATGTAATTTGGCCTGCAGATTTTATCCATTTTTTTATAGAGAGAGGATTCTTCTACTTTCCTCGAATGCCCCTATAGGAAAAGTTTGCTTCCTGAACTCCCTCCCTTCCGCCTTGCGGTGAGTCCTCTGGGCTTCTGCAGCTGCACTAACGAAACTAAACTTCAACTGTTATTTATTTCTATATTTACGTCCCTTGAAAGAGGGTTCTTTCTGTATTCAATTTTAAAGTCGAAAAAGCCTGAGTTAAAAAAAAAACGCTTTCCGACAGATATAATATAGGGTGAACGAAACCAAGAACTTTGATGCGTGTTTCTTCAACAGCGTAAATTAATGGAGAAGTATTTATAATAGGTTATTGCAGAACTGTCTTAACAACATTTTCTTAAAAACGCTTTCTAAAATACAGATGTAGTAACATTCGGCTAGAATTCATTTGCTATGTACCTACTAAGCAAAGGTACAAAAGTCACATTACAACAATGATGAATGCAACAAGTCTTCATTACAATTGGAAACTTGTACAGATGAAAGGTACCTGCAGATACAGTAGCCCTGGGGTAGGATTAGAGTTCAAACCGGGCGATTAGCGTTTGGTTTCTAACAGTAGTATGACTAATTTAATAATAATAATTTTATATAAAAAGATTGCAATTCAGAAACGTTAATTAACAACATTGGCAACCCCTAATCTAAAGTATTACCAAAACATTTATCCTACTATGGTTGATATATGCTTAGGAGATTATGTGCACAAAAGAGATAGTTAAAATGGGACAAATGAACATAAATGCAGATAATTTTATATAGTCGTTAATAGGGAAATAGGTATTAATGTGTTATTTAGACATTACAGATAGCTGTCTGAATTGAAGTTATAATACTTTTTCTCCTGAAAATTAATAAATAAAACTTATCACAGTGGTATGTTACAGACGTGTTTTTCACGGGTGACAGTCTTAGTTGTCGGCTGTAAATGCATAACACATAGTTTATAAATTATACTTAGAATGCAAATATTTATTCATGAACAAAATGCAACTGTAGCAAGCAAACTCTCAACTAATATCATAATCAATATCAATAATAACAATGTGCCTCTGCATGACATACATACAAAACATGTTCTGTAGTTACACATTAAGAAGTAAAGCAGTACTACAGCACAACTAAAGACTTTGTGGTCAAACTGATTTTCATAAAAAGTTGTTTGATATAATCCACAGTACTTTGTGGGAGAATAATGTTTGAAAAGACATGATGATTTGTTATTTATCAGTAAAATAGCTATGCTGATGGGTTATTTAGACAGGATAAATATCTGACTGAATTAAAGCTCTAAGGACTTTCAAGAGATCTGTGTCCCTTGAACAGAAGTGTTACTGAGAATTAATACAGTCAATAATTACAGTGTTACAGACAAGTCTAGGTTTTTCAGTAGTGACACACTATTCATTCAGTGTCAGATATAACTGAACAATACATATCCAGCTTGTGGCTGGAAGGTTATCAGTTTACATCCGGTGGCCAACAGAGGAATCCTACTCCATTGGGCCCCTGAGCGAGGCCCTTAACCCCAGCTGCTCCAGGGGCACTGTACAATGGCTGACCCTGTGCTCTGACCCCAAGCTTCTCTCCCTGTCTGTGTGTCTCATGGAGAGCAAGCTGGGGAATGTGGAAAGACAAATTCCTAATACAAGGATTTGTGGCTAATAAAGTGATTTTATCTTACCTTCTAAATATATTTTAAACGTGACAACTCTTTGTCGGAAGAAATGCCTCAAAAGCCATTTTCATCTACTGCAAGATTTCATCCACTTATTTTTATTTATTCATTTTCAGTTTATTTATGAAAGACAAAAATAGTCTTCTTTTTTTTCTGGGAGAGTCTCATGATTTTAATTTTTTTTCCAGAGCTTACTCCTAGGATTGATTGAGAGTTGTTTCTCACTGTCCTGGGGCTCCATTTAATGCTGGGGACCACTCACCAACTCGTACAATCCAGAGGTGTGTAAAAACAAAGTGTACGGAAGCCAATTAAAAGGGCAAGTTAAAAAGTAGGAATTCATATAGTTAAAAGCTACTAACTTAAATCACGGGATCTGGTGTTGAAATTGTCTAATCTTCATTTAGAATATTGTGTGCAATTATGTTCACCATGTCATAGGGAAGATATCGCTGTTCGTTAATCAATCCGGAAGCGAACAATCAGATACTATCCTGTTTTAAAGGTAGTATCTTAAAGACCAAATATTCAGGATCCTCAAAAGGCACTGATATCGTGTTTCGGAACGGAAAAATGAAACACGCACCAGAAAACACCAGTGGAAACTACGCGGACGTGCATTTCAACGTGACTAGAAATGGCCAAATGGCTTGTTTTTGAACGTGGAGGGTCGGGAGAGTTTCCGATTCCAGTCCTAGGATTACGACGTCGATAACGACAGCGAAAATAAGCATACATGGGAAATCGGAGAGAGATGTGTGATGCATAAGCATGAAAGCTTTGTAATTCGTACTTTGGCTTCGGCATCAGAAAAGTCCACGTACGCTTATGACACTTTAAAACCAGGGTGGTGTAAAAGTGAAAAAGTAAACAAAAAGCTCGGAAGTGTGCTGTTTGTTCTCGACCGGCAGTTTCGGTACTTCTTTTAGCCTAAATTCTCCCCTCCTTGCTCGATGTGCGAACAGGTGTTTCCCCCTCCTTCATTTGCATGTATCTTATCTCGAGGTCCGCAGAGCGTCCTTCGAGCCGCTGACTGACCGCAGCCGGGCTGTTTAGGACCGTTTTGCGCAGGTGTTGGTCTCGCATGACCGGGGCGGCTGTCAGAAATAGCTGCGGTGTCGCTCGCTGTGGTGCGGTCCACAGCCCTCTGGCGGGGCCAAGGGCGGTCGGCCGCTGCCGACCCCCTCCAGCCCCTCAGAGAGGCCCCAGCTGGCTTTCCTGAAAAGAAAGAGAGTTGCTTCCGCCCAATCTTTCAGATAAGCTTTTTTCTTTTCTTCCCAGAACAAGAGCTGTAAATTACAACAGTCCGACCGGTTCCCGAGACCCAAGCATGAGGGACTTGTACTGCTGCAATTTACGGAGAGCAAAAACGGACAGGCCCAGGCTTCATTACAGTTCTGGTCTTAACCTAACTTCACTAAGCGAATTATTTGGACACGAAAGCCAGATCACACGGTCTTTAAGTCTTCATCTGTCTCTGATTGAAAAGCACTTGTAAATCATGCAGGTCCCTGAAATTCCTAGACTGAAGCAGCCCGTCCCCCAAACAGGAGATCCTCAAACACCCAGATCACACGGTTCCAGACCTCTAGAGTGTTTGGTTTTTGTGCTTTGTCTTTTACAGGAAGAATGCGTGTCATTACTGGAAGCAAAACAGCCATCAGCTCTGCTGCAATAAAACTACAATCCAAAGTCTATAACACCCGACCTGTGAAGATCCAATGGCCACATTTATTTCAATAACCGCAATGGTCAATAACGCCATTCATTTCAATAACCACAATGACCAATAAAAAATAATGATCGATACCTCTATTTATTTCAATAACCACGGTGGCCAATAACCATATTTATGTCAATAATCACAATGGTCAATAACATTCATTTTTAAAACACTTTTTTTTTACTTCCCATCCATAGCTCTCGGTTTTGTGGACAAATGGTGTTATGTTTTGGAATGCAATTATACATCTACCTCAGATTCACTTCAGATTTTGTACATTTGTTACAATTCAATAAAAAGGCGACGAATTCATCATTAAGCCCCTTAGAATAAATAACGTGAAGAGCAGATCAAAATACAATCTCAATGACCTGGTTGAATTCACAGTTACTAGTGACGAATTGTATGGCTGTTAAAGAAGACAGATATTTGTCATTTAGAAATACTTTATTAATGAGTCCATCAGCTGTGTTTGATAAGCCCTTACTGTCTGAAATAAAATACAAAAATGTGAGCTATTTTGCTTTGCTTGAAAGTTAATA